TTGAAAGAGTTGGTGGAATCATTTGACTTTTTTATTCTTTTTTTCTTCTTTTCAACTGTCATTATCTTTAGTATGGGATTTCTCTCTAGTACCATGTTGGAGGTGAGCAGGGAAGATGTGGCAGGTTTGGAATAAGGTAGTAAAGAATAACTGATGACCTGTGTGGCCAGTTAGGTTTTATGGCTTGACCCATTGTCTTGAATAAGGAAATAAAATAATTCTAAATCCATATAGATTACTATATACCAAAAATATTTAGTTTTAATTAGTATAATCTTAAATTTCAACTTCTGTCATCCAAAAATACTCTGCTCATTACTTGAGGACATTGCCATAACCACTTACGGTAAAACATTCTATTACGTGAAATGAAGACAGTTGTACAGTTATACGCTGTATAATGACTTTGGTCAATGACAGACTGTATATATGATGGTGGTCCCATAAGATCATAATGGAACTGAAAAATTCCTGTCGCCTAAAGACAAAGGCATGATAACATCTTAGCACAATGCATTACTCACATGTTTGTGGTGATGCTGGTGTAAACAAGCAGCACAGTAAGCTGCATATAAAAGTATTACACATAGAATTATGTATGGTACATAGTACTTGATAAAATACCATGTTACTGGCTATGTGTTTACTATTTATCGTTATTTTAAACTATACCCCTACTTACAGGAAAAAAGGTAACTGTAAACAGCCTCAGGAGAGTCCTTCAGGAGGTCTTCCCAAAGAAGGCCTTATAGGAGATGACAGTTCCTTGCACGTTATGGCCCTTGAAGAACTTCCACTGGGACAAGATACGGAGGTAGAAGACAGTGATATTGATGATCCTGACCCAGTGTAGGCCTAGGCTAGTATGTGTGCTTGTGTTTTAGTTTTTAACAAAATAGTTAAAATGTAAAAAGAAAATTTAATTTTGAAAATAGAAAAAAGTTCATAAGAATACAAAGAAAAATATTTTTGTTCAGCTGTACAGTGTGTTTTAAGCTAAGTGTTATTCAAAAAGAGTGAAAATGTTTTTAGAAAATTTACCTTTTTTATTTATTTACTTATTTTTTTGAGATGGAGTCTTGCTCTGTTGCCTGGGCTGGAGTGCAGTGGCACGATCTCAGCTCACTGCAACCTCTGCCTCCCGGGTTCAAGTGATTCTTCTGCCTCAGTCTCCTGCGTAGCTGGGACTACAGGCATGTGTCACTATGCCCAGCTAATTTTTATATTTTTAGTAGACACAGGGTTTCACCATGTTGGTTGGCCAGGATGGTCTTGATCTCTTGACCTCGTGATCTGCCTGCCTTGGCCTCCCAAAGTGCCGGGATTACAGGCATGAGCCACTGCACCTGGCCTACCATACCTTTTCTATGTTCTATGTGTAGTGGTGCATGCCTATAGCCCCAGCTACTTGGGAGGCTACAGTGGCAGGATAGCTCGAACCCAGGAGTTCGAAGCTGCAGTGAGCAACAGTCATGCTGCTGTGTACTTCAGCCTGCACGACACAGCAAGACCCATCCAAAAAATAAAAGTTAAAAAAAATTTTAAAGTGCATAAAGTAAAAAAGCTACAATAAGCGAGGGTTAATTTATTATTGAAGAAAGAAAAATATATTTTTATAAATTTAATGTGACCTAAGTATGTAAAGTCTACAGTAGGGTTCAGTAATGTCCTAGGTCCTCACATTACTCACCACTCACTCACACCTGGAAGCAGCTTTCAGTGTGCAAGCACAGTTTATGGTCAGTGCCCTATACAGGTGTATCTTTTTTTTTTTTCTTTTAAATACAGGGCCTTGCTCTGTTACTCAGGCAGGAGTGCGCCTCCCACCTCAGCCTCCTAAGAAGCTAGGACTACAGGTACACACCATTACATCCAGTGAATTTTTGTGTTTTTTGGGAGAGATGGGATCTCACTATGTTACCCGGTCTGATCTGGAACTCATTTTTTAATCTTCTGTACTGTAATTTGTTTTTTGAGATGAAGCCTTGCTCTGTCACCCAGACTGGAGTACAGTGGCATGATCTTGGCTGATTGCAAACTCTGCCTCCCAGGTTCAAGAGATTCTCTTGCCTCAGCCTCCTGAGTAGCTGGGATTACAGTTGTCCACCATTGAGCCTGGCTAATTTTTGTATTTTTAGTAGAGATGGGGTTTCATCATGTTGGCCAAGCTGGTATCAAACCCCTGACCTCAAGTGATCTGCCCACCTCGGCCTCCCAAAATGCTAGGATTACAGGCATGAGCCACTGTGCCTGGGCTATACCATATTTTTACTGTATCTTTTCTACAGTTAAATATACAAATACTGACCATTCTATTAAAACTGCACAAAGTCTTCAGTACAACAACATGCTGTATAGGTTTGTAGCCTAGGAGCAATAGGATGTATCATCTAAGTTTGCGTAAGTATGCTCTGTGAGGTTCACACAGTAATGAAATTGTCTAATGGTTCATTTCTCGAATGTATTCCCATTCAGAGACTAGTTGAAAATGAGGAGCGATATCAGCCAGTCTCAATAACAATGTTGTCTTGAATGCCAAAGAAGTCTGCATTAGTCCATTTTCACACTGCTATAAAGATACTCCCCGAGAATGGGTAATTTATAAACAAAGGAGGCTTAATTGACTCACAATTCCACATGACTGGGGAGGCCTCAGGAAACTTACAATCATGGTGGAAGGGGAAGCAGGCACCTTCACAAGGCAGAGAGAGAGAGAGACAGAGAGAGCAAGAGCAGGGAAAACTGCCTTATAAAACCATCAGATCAGCTGAGCACAGTGGCTCACACCTGTAATCCCAGCACTTTGGGAGGCCGAGGTGGGTGGATCATTTATGGTCAGATGTTCGAGAACAGCCTGCCCAACATGGCAAAGACCCATCTCTACAAAAAAAATACAAAAAGCTTGGCATGGTGGTACATGTCTGTAGTCCCAGCTACTCCGGAGGCTGAGGCAAGAGAATTGCTTGAACTCAGGTGGCAGAGATTACAGTAAGCTGAGATCCCGCTTACTGACAGAGCAAGAATCCATCTAAAAAAAAAAAAAAAAAAAAGCCAGCAGATCTCATTGTGAACTCACTCACTGTCATGAGAACAGAATGGGAGAACCACTCTATGATGCAGTTAGTTACCTCCACCTGGTCTCTCCCTTGACAAATGGAGATAACGGGTACTACAATTCAAGATGAGATTTGGTTGGGGATACACAGCAAGCCATATCATTCTGCCCCTGGCCCCTCTCAAATCTCATGTCTTTTCACATTTCAAAACCAATCATGCCTTCCCTCCCAACAGCCCCCAACGCCTTAACTCATTTCAGCATTAACTCAAAAGTCCACAGTCCAAAGTCTTATCTGAGATAAGGCAAGTGCAAGTCCCTTCCACCTATGAGCCTGTACAATCAAAAGCAAGTTAGTTACTTTGTAAATACAATGGTGGTACAGGCATCGGATAAATGCTCCCGTTCCAAATGGGAGAAATTGACCAAAACAAAGGGGCTACAGGTCCCATGCAAGTCGAAAATCCAGTGGGGCAGTCATTAAATATTAAACCTCCAAAATAATCTCCTTTGACTTAATGTCTCATATCACGGGCATGCTGATGCAAGGGGTGGGCTCTCATGGCCTTCTGCAGCTCCTTCATGGGCTGGCACTGAGTGTCCTTGGCTTTTCCAGGCACAGGGTGCAAGCTCTCAGTGGAGCTACCATTCTGGGTTCTGGAGGATAGTAGCCCTCATCTCACAGCTCCATTAGGCAGTGCCCCAGTGGGTACTCTTTGTGGGGGCTCCAATCCCACATTTCCCTAATGCAACACCCTAGCAGAGGTTCTCCATGAGGGCTCTGCCCCTGCAACAGACTTCTGCATGGACATCCAGATATTTCTATACATCCTGTGAAATCTAGGTGGAAGTTCCCAAACCTCAACTCTTGAATTCTGTGCACTGCAGGCCCAACACCACGTGGAAGCTGCCAAGGCTTGGGGCTTGCACCCTTGGAAGCAACAGCCCAAGCTATACCTTGGCCCTTTTTAGCCACGTCTGGAGCTGGAAAATCTGGGATGCAGGGCACCAAGTTCCGAGGCCGCACACAGCAGCGGGCACCTGGCCCTGCACAGGAAGCCATTTTTTTTCCTCTTAGGCCTCCAGGCCTGTGATGGGAGGAGCTGCCACCAAGATCTCCGATATGCCCTGGAGACATTTTCCCCATTGTTTTGGCAATTAACATTTGGCTCCTCATTACTTTATGCAAATTTCTGCAGCTGGCTAGAATTTCTTCCCAGAAAATGGGTTTTCTTTTCTATCTCTTAGTCACGTTGCAGGTTTTCTAAACCTTATGCTCTGCTTCCCTTTTAAACATAAGTTCCAATTTCAGATTATCTCTCTCAAGTTCAAAGTTCCACAGATTTCTAAGGCAGTGGCAAGATGCTGCCAGTCTCTTTGCTAAAGCATAGTAAGACTGACCTTTGCTCCAGTTCCCAATAAGTTCCTCATCTCCATCTGAGACCACCTCAGCCTGGACTTCATTGTCCATATCACTATCAGCATTTTGGTTAAAACCATTCAACAAGTCTCTAGGAAGTTCTAAACATTTCCACATCTTTCTGTCTTCTTCTGAGCCCTCCAAACTATTTCACCCTCTGCCCATTACCCAGTTCCAAAGTCACTTCTGTATTTTCTATATCTTTATAGTAGTACCCCACACTTCTGGTACCAATTAACTGTATGAGTCCATTTTCACACTGCTATAAAGATATCATACTACCCAAGAATGGATAATTTATAAGCAAGGGAGGTTTAATTGACTCACAGTACCACATGGCTGGATAGGTCTCAGGAAACTTAAACAGTCATGGCAGAAGAGGAAGCACACACCTTCACAGGGCAGCAGGAGAGAGAGCAAGCAAGAGCAGGGAAAACTGCCTTATAAAGTCATCAGATCTCTTGAGAACTCACTCATTAGCACAAGAACAGCATGGGGGAAACCACCCCCATGATTCAATCACCTCTCTCCTCAACACGTGGAGATTACAGTTTGAGATGAGATTTGAGTGGGGAGACAGAGCCAAACCATATCAGAGTCAGTCCTCATTCTGTGTTAACCCCTGAAAACTCAGTGCTATTAAATGTTGAAGTTGCCCTGTTTGAAACCTTCCCTTCAGCTACTATGTTTAGTAAATTGAACTAAATGAATTATCTTGCTTTCTGTTAAGTGACTCCTTTATGCTAATGATTTGTGGTGCCATATCTCTAGGCCCAACCTAAGTTTTGAGCTGCTCAACATTTACACCTGGATGTCCCACCAGCACTTCGATTTGAATGAGTGTAGTTTGAACAAGTATGGTTCCCCTGCCATGTGTTACAGATTTTTTTTTATAGTAATTTCATTGAGATATAATTTACATATCATACAATTTACCAAATTCAAGTGTACAATTCTATGACATTTAGTGTTTTCAGGGTTGTACAACCATCACTATAATGAATTTAAAAACATTTTCATCACCCCAAAAGGAAACTCATACCATTTGCCCTATCATAGCCTAATCCCTCCACCATCCACCCACTCCCCCAGTGCTAAGCAACTATAAATCTACTTTTTGTCTCTAGATTTGTCTCCATTCTGGACATGTCATACAAATGAAATCATAATATGTGATCTTTTGTGATTGGTTTCTTTCACTTAGCATAGCATTTTCAAAGTTCATCTGTGTTGTAACATAGCATGTTAGTGTTTCCACCCTTTTTATGGCTAAATAAGATATACCACATTTTGTTCATTCATCAATTGGTGGACATTTGGGTAGTTTTTGACATTTAGTTATAATGAGTAATGCTATTATGAAGATTTGTGTATACATTTTTATGTGTACTTGTGTTTCTATTTCTCAAGTATGTACCTAGAAGTGGAATTGCTGCATCAAATAGTAAATATGTTCAATTTTTTGAGTAACTGCCTGTTTTCCAAAGTTGCCACACCATTTTACATTCCTATCAGCAGTGTGTATGGATTCTAATTTTTCTGCATCCTCACCATCACTTGTTATTATCTGACTTTTTATTATAACTTTCCTAATGGGTATAAAGTGGTATCTCACTGTGGTTTTGTCTTACCCTGTTTCTCTTAAAGCTACCATAAGCCACCGAGTTTCCCAGAAACACTTGAATATCTCCAATCCATTTTACCATCTACTATTGCCACTAGACGTCCAAGTGCTTGTCCTCTATCACTTGAATTATTATGACAACCTTAGCTATATAACTGACCTTCTTTTTTCCACCCTCTTCCCATTGCCCAGCCAAAAAAATCGCATTAAACACCACTTGTAATATAATGTACAGCTTAAAAGCCTGAGAAGTATAGAAAGGAAAAACTTTCTGGGAAGCTTACAGTGGAAAAACCTAGCAAACATTTTAAATGAAGTGATCGAGATTAACATCAGCAATGATGTGTCCTCTAAAATAATGTGATAAAAATACCTGTGTGGTATTTTTCCTAAAACCTTTACCTCCAGGCTAATCATGAGAAAATGTCCGACAAACCCAAATTGAGGAATATTCGACAAACTTTCTGATCAGCACCCCTCAAAACTGTGAAGTTCACGAAAAACAAGGGAAGACTGAGAAGAGGAACTCAGAGTGAGGAGATTATGGAGACCATGACAACTAAATGTTTTGTGGGATCCTATATTGACTCCTGGAAAAGAAAAAGCACATTAATGGAAAAACCAGTGAAATCTGAATGAGGACTGGCTTTCAGGTAATAATAATTTACCAGTGTTGGTTTCTTAGTTTTGACAAATGTACCATGATAATGTAAGATAATATTAAGGGAGACAAAATGGTTGAGGGCTTATATGAGAACTCTCTGTACTATCTTTGTAACTTTTCTGCACATCTAAAAACACTCCAAAAGAAAAAAAAAGTATTTTATTTAAAAATCAGCAACTTCCAGAGGCTCCCCGCCGACTAGAGCAGGTCCACATTACCAACAAGTTGAAGCCCTTCACTGACTTATTCTTATTATAACTGCCCTAATGGCTATGAAGTAGCATTCTCACTGTGGTTTTGATTAGCCCTGTTTCTTTTAAAGCTACCATAAGCCACCCAGTTGCCCAGAAACACTTGACTATCTCCAGTCCTTTTCACTATCTTCCATATCTAACCTCAATGTCAAATCTTGTTTCCCCTTGAAGCTACTCTCCAGCACCCAATCTGCTGTTCCCACACTGTACCCTTTAAGAAATGAGTACCACTGGGTCTGCTGTTTGCTCTAATTGGAATGTCTGTTGCTGCACTCAAAGGAAAGCATTTTCTAAGATTTTCATAACTTAGCCTGAGTTAGTTACTTTGTACTGTGTTCCCACCTTATTTTCTTTTAAGACAGGAGCCTCACTCTGTTAACCAGGCTGGAGCGCAGTGACACGATCTCAGCTCACTGCAGCCTTGACCTCCTGGGGTCAGGCGATCCTCTCACTTCAGCCCCTGCAAGTATCTGGGACCACAGGTGTGCTCCACCATGCCGGGCTAATATTTTGTATTTTTGGTAGAGACAGGTTTTTGTCATTTTTGCCCAGGCTGGTCTTGAACTCCTGAACTCAAGCAATCTGCCCGCCTTGCCTTACCAAAGTGCTGGGATTACAGGCGTGAGCCACCGTGCCCTGCCTCTTCGCGTTATATTCCTTTCTTCATTATATTTATTCATTCATATATCTCATCACATTTAATTTGATAATCCCTTTTCGGATTAAAATACATATTCTCTGAAAAATTTCAACACTAAAAGAAGAAAAATCAGAAAATAAAATCCACATTGTCTTTCCAGAGACACTGCTATCAGTGATGAACCACAATATGGTTGTCTTTAGTTGTAATTTTATAGATGTTCTTCAAATGGTCACTTTTATTTTCATCTAGAAGTGACAAAATTAAACACAACTCTGAAAGCATCTCTTCATAAGGTGAGTTAAATACTCTGAGTGATCAACTAGTATTATTACTAAATTTATAGAATTTTGAGGTTGTCTTTTGTTTTTTCTAGAGTGAAGTTGTCTTTTAAAAGTATTAATTAATTTATTTATTCATTTATTTTTTTTGAGACGGAGTCTTGCTCTGTCACCCAGGCTGGAGTGCAGTGGCCAGATCTCAGCTCACTGCAAGCTCCGCCTCCTGGGTTCACGCCATTCTCCTGCCTCAGCCTCCCGAGTAGCTGGGACTACATGTAGGCGCCTGCCACCTCGCCCAGCTAGTTTTTTTTGGTATTTTTTAGGAGAGACGGGGTTTCACCGTGTTAGCCAGGATGGTCTCGATCTCCTGACCTCGTGATCCGCCCGTCTCGGCCTCCCAAAGTGCTGGGATTACAGGCTTGAGCCACTGCACCCGGCCAAAAAGTATTAATTTAATATGCATGTTTTTGTATATAGCTTTCCAGGACTTTCTCTATATAGATGAACTATCTGTTCATAGGACCTCAATATACTATTCTGCAACATGCATTTTTTCTTAATATGTCTTGGCAATTGACATAGTCATCTCATTGTCTTTAATGGTTCCAAAATAGCCCATTGTACCAATGTTCTCTAATTTATTTAATCCTTTAATTAGCCTTCTCCACTAAGAAGAGGTCCTTATAAGTGGGGAACCTGAAGTTAAGCCTGCCTTATTGGTATTTGCCGATGTCTAACATAGTGCATGAATAAATTAGCCTATCCAGCCTAGTTTAGGAAGTCACAAAACTGAAAGGAGAGGTAATGAAGGCCTGCACCCATTGTCAGTGATGATGCTAAGCGTTAAAGAGAGTAACAACCAAGAAAGAGATCAGTGGGTTAGAAGGCAATACATTTGCTTTGGTACAAATTAAAGTATTTGATAGGTCCTTTAGTAAAGATGTCCAGAAAATATTTGGAAATGTAGGACCAGACAGATTCGAGACAAAATTTGCTTAAAATATTTAAAGTAGAAAAAGTTAGAAAAGTAGAAAAGGTAAGAGGTAAATCATCCCTTATCTGCAATCTCAAAATCAAAAATGGTTTGAAAAGCATTTTCTAAGACAAAACTCATTTAGCTGCAACACCTGGTAAAAATTGTAGTGAGGGCCTGGCGCGGTGGCTCAAGCCTGTAATCCCAGCACTTTGGGAGGCTGAGACGGGTGGATCACGAGGTCAGGAGATCGAAACCATCCTGGCTAACACGGTGAAACCCCGTCTCTACTAAAAAATACAAAAAACTAGCCGGGCGAGGTGGCGGGCGCCTGTAGTCCCAGCTACTCCGGAGGCCGAGGCAGGAGAATGGCGTAAACCCGGGAGGCGGAGCTTGCAGTGAGCTGAGATCCGGCCACTGCACTCCAGCCTGGACGACAGAGCGAGACTCCGTCTCAAAAAAAAAAAAAAAAAAAAGTGCAAAAAAAACTAGCCGGGCGAGGTGGCGGGCGCGTGTAGTCCCAGCTACTTGGGAGGCTGAGGCAGGAGAACGGCGTAAACCTGGGAAGCTGAGATTCGGTCACTGCACTCCAGCCTCGGCGACAGAGCGAGACTCCGTCTCAAAAATTAAAAAAAAATTGTAGTGAGGCCGAGGCAGGTGGATTACCTAAGGTCAGGAGTTCGAGACCAGCCTGGCCAGTGTAGTGAAACCACATCTCTACCAAAAATACAAAAATTAGCCTGGCATGGTGGTGGATGCCTGTAGTCCCAGCTACTCAGGAAGCTGAGGCAGGAGAATTGCTTGAACCCGGGAGATGAAGGTTGCAGTGAGCCGAGATTGTGCCACTGTATACCAGCCTGGGTGACAGAGTGAGATCCTGTCTCAAAAAAAAAAAAAAAAAAAAATGCAGTGAGGCTTATACAGTCTACATATTCTACTATAGTAGTCATAGTCCCTATCTCGCTTTGTGTAAACATTGATATATTTCATTGCAGAAATATTAATAGATTTGATTAAAGAGTGCTGCCCCTCTCTGTGTAAAGTGTTACAAAATATATGGTTGTTACAACCTATGACTTTGCTAAAATCCAAAAATTCAGAATTTTGAAGCATATGTGGCTTCAAAAGTTTCAAGTAAGGGATTGTGTTCCTAAATCAAAGCAGAGTGCAGAATTGAGAACATCATAAAATAAATGACAGAACCTTGGTGGACCTGCACCATTTACGGGGCAGAAGTGAGAATGAATGGGATGAGGAACAGGATCGTTGAGTTGGGAGAGGAATCACAACAGTGCCTGACAACTATTAAGTATTCAATAAATATTTGTTGACCGAAAGAATATAGTGAAAGGCAAGGAAGAGAGAGTTTCAACCACGCCAGTAATGTCAGCACTTTGAAAGGCCGAGGCAGTTGGATCACTTGAGACCAGGAGTTCAAGATCAGCCTGGGCAACATGGAAAAACCCTGCCTCTACTAAAAATACAAAAATTAGCTGGGTGTGGTGGTGCACAACTATAATCCCAGGTACTCGGGAGGCTGAGGCACGAGAATTGATTGAACTCGGGAGATGGAGGCTGCAGTGAGCCGAGATTGTGCCGCTGCAGTCCAGCCTGGGCAAGAGAGCAAAACTCTGTCAAAAAAAAAAAAAAAAAAAAAAAAATTCAAGAAATAGTGAACAATGTGTTCTGAAAGCTCAAAAACAATTGAAAAATGAGGATTAAGAATAAAAAACTGCCACTAATTCATAATATACAGCACACATTTCTAAAAAGGATTAAACTATAAAAAGGGAAACACTGGAAAAAGGAAACGGTAACTACAAAAACACCCAACCTAACATAGAAAATATAATCAGGCATTGACTTTAGCCCCAAATCTTCCTGGGAAGCTAAGAAAGGAAAGGAACAATAGGTTATAGAGTTTTAATATCCTTAAATTCACTAGGACAATCAAACGTTTTACTAACATTGAATTTTTGAAGAAATATCAAGCACAATCTAATGTAGGGAATGAATGATGAACTACAATATGGTTGTCTTTGGTTGTAATTTTACAGATGTTCTTCCAGTGTTCACTTTTATTTTCATCTGAAAGTGACAAAATTGAACACAACTCTGAAAGCCCCTCTTCATAAGGTGAGTTACGTGCTCTGAGTGATCAACTAGTATTATTACTAAATTTATAGAATTTTGAGGTTGTCTTTTGTTTTTCTAGAGTGAGGTTGTCTTTTTAAGGTATTAATTTAATATGCATTATATTATTTAACAAGTACTTGGAGTAAAACTCCTGGGCTAACTACTGGAGATACAAATAAACAAGGTCTAAAACTGCCCTATGAAATCTCAGTCAACAGCTGTCTAGTATAATCTCTAGCAATGTCTCCACTCTTACTAGCTATTTAGTATTTAACTAGTCTAAGGTTTCAAAGAAATCCACCAGCATTAACAACAAGCAAATTCTGTAGGTTCTATTTAGTGAAACTCCAATTTGGTTTCTTATTTAATTTGCATAGAATTTGATTCTGACAGGTTGCTAAAAAAATTAATAATTCTGGAACCCCAGGTTATCTTTCCTAAGAAGATGATGTTAAATCTAGAATACCAATAAAGCATGTGTTTTAAGTTACTTTCTAATAGTGATGTTGGTTTGAGGTAAGCCACTTATGTTTTTTATGACCCCATTTGACCTACAGCATGACGTTTTGAGATGGCTAATTAAGGCCAGAAGTGTAGGCCATAAACAATTTATAGTGTAATACATTCATATTGATTGCAAGGATAAAACTGTAGTTTGCATACTATTGTTTCTTTACATGTTACAGAATGTAAGTTTTAGACAAATGTGGTGGCTTTTGCATATTAAAAAATGCAGTTTCAACATGATTGTTTCTTTGGTGGGCAGATAAAGAACAACAGTGAGGTATTCAAGATGCAAAATTCAGAAAACTTCCAGTTATCAAAAAATAGTGAGGGCTGTAAGTTGAAAGAAAGGAAAATATATGAGCAGAGTGACAGTTTTGGGCAATGCCATAAATGACACTATGACTTAATTAGCCCTCTTTTCTAAGCAACTATTCATTTTTCATAGGGGTTTGAAATATTACCCAGGAAAACAAGCCAATAATTTTGGCTGTGAGAATCTCATACCATAAAATGTTAAGGTACTATAGTTTATTTGATAATGGACTTAAATGAATGGTTTTGTTAAAAGATCTTAGTATCTTTTCACCTGAATCTTGAAAGATAATTAGCAGGGAGAAATCTTCTGTTGAATAATTACTAATTAAAAACTAGATAATTTAGCATTATTTTTACCTTAGCTACTCAATTAGGAAATATTTATTATTTAGATGGTAACATTTATTTTCATTAATTTAATTCTGCTTAACACAACATGATCATTTAAAGTTAAATTGTGTCAAGTAAATTTATCATAACCTTATAGAAAATCAGAAACAGTGCCACATTTCACTCAAATGTTTTAATATTTTTATTTAGCATTTGAGAGCTTTAAATATTATGAAAATATTGGAACCGATGAGAGAATACACTTTTCTTTTTAAGAGACGCATCTATTCTTTTAAGTGATCAGGGTCCCATTAAGTCAATTATTTTTTCCATATGGCTCAGAAATGTATGTCTTTGTTGGTCATGTATTTGATTGACCTTTTATGAAAGGCAGATAGTTGACCAAGGGTTGCCTCATTTTAGAATCTCCTCAGAAATGACTAAATGTTTTCCAGATGAGCATACTGTGGACCTAGTGGGGAGCTAGGAATTAGAAATCATTGCCTCTAAACCAGGGGAATTTGTGGACTATTTCTGTCGGGACTCAGTGACCTAAAGGAATTGACCTACTGAGCAATTTCTTTCAGTCTCCACCGTGTGAGTAAGTCATGAAAACAACTCAAGGTAAGACATATATATTTATGGCTGCACACGGTGGCTGAAGCCTGTAATCCCAGCACTTTGGGAGACCACAGTGGGTGGATCACCTGAGGTCAGGAGTTTGAGACCAGCCTGGCTAACATGGTGAAACCTCGTCTCTACCAAAAAATACAAAAATTAGCTGGGCGTGGTGGCACACACCTGTAATCCCAGCTACTCAGGAGGCTGAGGCAGGAGAATCGCTTGAACCCAGGAGGTGGAGGTTGACGTGAGCTGAGATCGCACCACTGCAGTCCAGCCTGGGTGACAGAGTGAGACTTTGTCTCAAAAAAAAAAAAAAAAAATACACACACACACACACACACACACACACACATATGCACCACTTGTTTCCATAGAATAATTTAAGGCAGCTGCAAAGGCTTCTATCTTCTTTACCAAATGTAAACTTTAGTTACCAGTGGAGGTATAAGGGGACCATCGATTTATTACTGTGTTATTTGTCACCAGACTACTCATCTGCCAAAATTGGCACTAATATCCCACTTTATCCCTTTTTAAGGAAAATAAAAATAACATTTCAATAGGAATAAAATACGTCCTATGTTGCTTTTCCTCCTTTATCTTCTATCTCATAACCTAAACCTATTATATATGTGTATATACACGTGTATATACACACACACACACACACGTGTGTATATATATACATATATATATATATATATTTTTTTTTTTTTTTTTTTTGAGATGGAGTCTCATTCTGTCACCCAGGCTGGAGTGCAGTGGTGCGATCTCAACTCACTGCAACCTCCACCTCCTGGGTTCAAGTGATTCTCCTGCCTCGGCCTCCCGAGTAGCTGGGACTACAGGCATGTGCCACTACACCTGGCTAATATTTTGATTTTGTATTTTTAGTAGAGACGGGGTTTCACCATATTGGCCAGGCTGGTCTCAAACTCCTGACGTTGTGATCCACCTGCCTCGGCTTCCCAAAGTGCTGGGATTACAGGTGTGAGCCACCACGCCTTGCCCAACATACAAATTTAAGAATACATTTTAAGCAGTACAGGGAAAATAAATGATTAATATATACAAACGCTAAAACTCTACCTCAGATAATTTATTTTTCAAAAAAATAATGCTCCATTGTCTGTTATTCAAAGTTGAATGGCTGGTACTTTTAAAAAGGAAAAATAGGTCCCCGCAAAAGGGCCAAAATGCATTTGTAAAGTTCACCTAAAATAATTGGAAAATACACCAGTTATGTACACATTTATGTTTTCTTAATCGAAAGAATAGAAAGAAGTGTAAGGCACCAAATGCTTCTAGGTATGACTCCCTAAACAATCTGGAACACAACATTTAGCTTCTGTAATTTTAAAACACAGGAACTAGAGATAAGTTGTCTGATAGATGGTCTTATTGGAAATTAGATTAGGGGATTGCAGGGATTTGGAGAAAGAAACTAATGCATAATGACACCCATTTGCAACAAAAGAACACTTCAAGGGATTTATCTAAAATACATTTCAGAAATGGATGATTTGGGTTGATGCATTTGAACCTTTAAAAATTTTATGAGTTAAAATAATTAAGTCAGTGACATTTAGAAACACTGCTGCTGCCTTCTGTGTTCTCAACAGATTCTAAATTCAGCTATATATCTCTTGTGATTACAAGATATGATTACAAATAGCAATAATTGTTGCAAAACAAATTACAGAGTGACACAGGAAAACATTCCCCCTCCAACAGAGAGGGGGAGTGGATTACCTCACACATATAGCCTGCAGGTTATATAATAAAGATTGCAGGCTTTAAAATGAAAAAGAAATGTATGCCAAAATAGAAAAATGATTTCATGAAAAACAAACACAGATTCTTTTGTTTAGGGGAAAACACCTAAAGAATCGATGAGAAAATTCAGGCACAAATATTTAAGTGTTTATGGCTCTAGAAACTGTTTCTAAAAAGCTTATTCATTCATTTCCATAACTATTCATAGGACACAGTCATGCAAATAACCTTTATTCATATAGGACTTGAAAATATTACAATTATATTGCACAATATTGCACAACAAATGTACATTTGTACATATACACAATATATTACATTTTTACATTGTGTACATATAATTGTATTATAACAATGTTACATTTATATACAATACGTTACAACTTAGAAATGAGCAATTTCTACTTAGATTCAGTACCCAGACAAAAGTATTATTGTTAATTTTAACCCATACATTTTAGTAAGAAGTGGACAGAGCATTAGCATGACACATTTGAATTACTTCAGGATACATTTTTATATAAGTAACCTCCAGGAAGTTGCCACACACATAGCAATTATTGCAATAGAGATTCCAAGAAGTAGGCCAAGGGACCATTTAATTTTTGTCTGTGGCAGTTCATTCCTTTAACTCAGTTTTTCTCCATCTTTTTAAAGCCTTCACTGACAAATATTAAAATCTGATGATTGAAGCTTCCCAGCTCAGCATTCTGTAACACCCTCCTCGCAGAACCTAGAAACCTAATAAAAAATTACTGATAATGAGAAGACTGAATGTACCTTATTATAATTTCTTGGTTGTCTACCTGTTCACTATACTACAAACTCCATGAGGATAGGGTGGGGAAACTGGAAGATAATGGATGGGGATGAAACAAAAAAACCTTTTCACTTTGTTTTCTTTATACTTCTTGACTTTTGAGCCATGTCGTGATGGTTAATTTTATGTGTCAACCTGGCTGGGCTAATGGATGCCCAGATAGTTTAAGACATGATTTCTGGGTGTGTCTGTGAGGGTGTTTCCAGAAGAGATTCACATTTGAATCAGTAGACTGAGTAAAGATGATCCAGCCTCACCTATGTGAGTGGACATCATCCAGTCTATTGAGTGCCAAGATAAAACGGAAAGGTGGACAAAGAATGAATTTTTCTATTCTTGAGTCTGAACATCCATCTTCTTCTGTTTTCGGCCATCAAAGCTCTTGGTTCTTGGGCCTTTGGACTCCAGGACTTGCACCCCCCAGCGCGCGCACACACACACACACACACACACACACGTTCTCATACCTTCAGCTGATAGATACTTCATTGGCTCCCCTGGTTCTCAGGACATCGGAATTGGACTGAATTGCACCACTGGCTGTCCTGGTTCTTCAGCTTGCAGATGGCTCTTCCTGGGACTTCTCAGCCTCCATAATGATAAAGTCAGTTCCCGTGATAAATCCCCGTGTGTGTGTGTGTGTGTGTGTGTGTGTGTGTGTGTGTACTACTGGTTTTGCTTCTCTGGAGAACCTAATACACTTGTGAATAAATTTCCTGTTTGAAAATTAAACTAAAAAGTCTTCATGATAAAGCTTTTTTCCTGAATAGTTAGCCCTCAGGTAAACCAGGTTCATTTTTCAATAGGATTCATTGTAACTGAATTGGCCACGTCCAGTCACTTTGGTCTGTTAGTATATGAAAGTATCCTGAAAACAGGGAATCAGACATTTTGTTATTCTTGAAATTATGATTATTTCTATAGTAGAAACGACTGAGAAACAAGATGAATACCAAGGACACACAGTTACTGACAAGAAGATTATAAAGCATAATATGCTAAGCAATGTTATGACAAAAATTATCTCTAAAACAAGACCATCGGGGTCTTTTGGCAGTACTATTAGTCCTCCTCACCCTAATTCCTGTCAAGGTGTGGAGAATCTGGTTAAAAGAGAAATGATTATCATAAAAGAAACAAGGCACTGGGTGCAGTGGCATGCACCTGTACTTCCAGCTGCTAAGGAGGCTGAGACAGGAGCCCAGGAGTTCAAAGCTGTAGTGCACTAGGATCACACCTGTGAATAGCCACTGCACTGCAGCCTGGGCAATATAGCAAGACCTTGTCAAGGAAGGAAGGAAGAAAGGAAAGAAGGAAGGGAGGAAGGGAGGAGAGGGAGGAGGCGGAGGAAAGGAACAGTGACAGTGAAAAAATTGACCAAAGCTAACTTTCAAATTATAGCAGAAAAGGTGTATAAAGAGGGAATTACATATAATTCAGGGCTTTTCCATATAGCTATTTTTTTCTTCAAAGTAAACACCGTTAAAATTGAGCATGGAAATGAATAAACAGTGCATTGTAAATAAATACAAACAGTGAATAGTCATATAAAATCTATGCTTAACCTCATTCAGAATTGACTATATGTAAATTAAAATATTTTCAAGATTTTCATCTACTACATGGCTATAAGTAGAAATTTTATAATGCTAAGTGTTGAAGGTGTTGGGAAAACAGGCATTTTCCTATACCGTGTAGTTTATAGGGAGATAATTAGTTCAACTTTTGGAGGGCTATTGGTCAATATCTATCAAAATGTAAAATACACATAACTTTTGGCTCACAATTCCACCTAATTTATCGAAGAGATAAACTCACTCACAAGTAGCCACAGATTTATACTCAAAGATGCTCACTGCAGTATCATTTGTAAAAACAAATGGAAATACCCTACATTTCTATCAATGGGAGATATAGACATCTAATCACACACCATTCAGTTTTTTAAAATTAGGTATATACAGGCTAATAAGGAAAACTCTTCAAAATACATATTTTAGATAGGGAAAAGGCCATTAGAGGAGAGTTTATGCAGTATGATCTTATCCAGGCAAAGAGAGAGAGGCAAAAATGAACACAGAGAAACACAGCCAGATGTGGTTTATGTACAGAACATTTCCTTACGTGTGTACAGACTTTAAAGCAGCTTTCCCTAGAAAGTGAGAGTTGGAGTTTAGGGAGGTGACACATAGAGCAGGAAGATAATGGGGCAAACTGCTAAGAAGAAATTTACTCCACTTTATACTTTTTGTAATTTTTTTTTCTTGTGATAAGCCTGTTTTTTTTTTTTCCCAATTTTTTATTGTGGCAAAATACATATAAAATTTACCACCGTAACCATTTTTAAGCATACAGTTCAATGATATTAAATACATTCATAATTATGTGCAACTATCACCACCATCCATCTCCAAAATTCATTTCATTGTGTAAAACTGAAACTCTGTATCAATTAAGCAGTAACTCCCCATTCCCTCCCCTTTAGTCTCTGGCTACCACCTTTCTATT